GCCTTTGATAACTTCATGGATATTTTCAACGTAGATCTTAATAAGCATATTCCTTTAAAACGGGTTTAATCAAAAGCCAATAAATTGGTTCCTAAAGTCCCTTTGGTCACTGTAAGTCCATGTAAATCCATTAATCATAAAAACAAACTTTATCGCAAGTTTAAGTCTAACCCAACAGAAACTAATCATGCTAGATATGTACGATATAAAAATGTACTGACAACTGTCCTTCGTAATTCTAAACGTAATTACTTAATTACTTAAGTAATTGCCAAACAATTTAATAAAGAAAAGGGAAATATTAAAAATACTTGGAAAATAATAAACAATGTATTGCATAACCACAATAGTCATCAAACTGAATTAAAAATCAAATCACATGGTGTATCCATTGATAATCCTAAGGACACTGCAAATTATTTTAATAATTATTTTTCAAATATTGGTAAGAATCTCTGTGATGAAATCCCGGATAATGACCTTAATTTGAATTATTTAACAAATCCTAACATTGATTCTATTTTTCTCCCCTGTAACAGAAGAAGTGTAAGTTAAAAGCATTTTTCCTTAAACATATTTTACTGACTCTATATAATACTCTAGTTCTACCAGATTTATCATATGGCATACTTGCATGGGGCAACTGTGGAATTAGCCTAATAGATACTATAGATAGAATACTTTAACTTCGAAAAAAAGGCATTGCGCATTATCAATTCTGCATTTTTTCAAGAACATAGTAATCCTTTATTTACTAATGTAAAACACGAACAGTCAGTGATATTTATTCTTTCCAGCTAGGGAACCTCATGCATCGAGTAAATAATACTAATGTACCCAACTACATCAGCTCAATGTTTTTTAAAAAATGATAAAATCCATAACCATTTTACAAGGCAGTGTAGTGAGTTTCGTCTCTCTTCTGTACGCACGAAACTTGCAACCAAAACAGTTAAGCATGAGGGTCCAAAGCTGTGTGTCACTGAGTGATATTAAATCAGAATTACTTTTAAATTATTAATACCGTATAATTGTTGCCCTGATTGTTGAAATGATAAACGTGGTATTTAGTGGTGAAACAAGATTTTATTTTCCTGAGCCGCCACACCCAAACATTCCTGAAGTCAGTCAACCTC